AGGGGGTGCGCGAAAATTTGTGCTCGAGGTGAAATCCATAACTCCTGCTTTCAAAGACCCTGGAGGGTTCAAATTTCGTATGAGCAAATTTGACAGGATGGAAACATGGCAGATGTAAGTCCCCGATAGTAGGTAGAAGGGAGTGACTAAACTGGCCCAAATAGGCGTAGGAGGCGGACTATGCGTGAAATGCATTTTATCCAAGTATGAGCTTTCATAGTTCCTTGCGGTTGACCACTTCTTCTATGCCTTTGTTTTATATCTAACCTTGAAATTGCACTGTTACCTCATTTTACGTGTTCTCTATTTACATGGGTCCCTTCCATTTATTCCGTTATTTGAGTTGTTTCCAGAAGGTTGTGATATTTTTTCCTAGAACTTAGAACTTCGCCTATGGCGAGCAGGGCGCTGACGTTAAACTTCGTGAAGCCCTGCTCAAGTTTTGGGTCAGTACGTGTGTGATTCGCTGGAAATCAGTAGCTCCTGTTTATTTGGACCAGAACTTTCAAAACTAGGGGAGTGCATGCGGCGTGTCTGTCAGAGGTGTCTACCTTCCAAAATTGAACGTTCCATTCATTCCTGCCCACCTGCTAAGAATGTTTGAAAAGGAGATTCATAAGCCGCCCCCACTGCTATGAATGTTCGAAAAGGAGTGAGATTCATATGCCAGGAACGAAGTGTTCACGAGTAATCCCTTTTGTGAGAAACCCATCCCATTGGACATATGACAAATCGCCTAGAAACCTCACGAGGCCGTTAGGCTTCATTTTAATTTCCAAACGCATTCAATCTCTTTTTTCTAAACGTTCTCGAGGGTGCAGCACAATGATACTATCGAGAACGGGTTCAGGTTGGGATCAATACCGAGAAGACTTCTTCGAAAACTCGCTCGGGAGGCAGACTGGGTAGGTGCAATTAGAAAATTCCTGACAAGGCTTTTCCCCAAATCTCGGTTACTCATCCGTTCATTTAAACCTTCCCTTGAGGATTTGGTAGTCGTGAATAGTTTGCTGAGATTCTGTAGTGGACGAAGAACTCTGCTTTGTGAGTGATGTATTATCGTACTCATGTACATCACCCTCAACTGCATACCATTTCCAGCAGGTTTTTGCACATTTTCTTTTCTCTCAATTCTCTGATCTCTTGATTCAAAAATTGTTGACTGATCCGGGAGAGGTCTTTAAATCCAAAGTTGCTATTCAGAGTCGATGATGTCGTCGAAGAAGCGTCGAGATGAAGTGCGTTACGCCACGTGGACGATGGTCTCTATAACCACCACCTACCTTTGCTGCTCTTCACTTTCGCTGTTTATATCCGTCATGGAAAACGTCTTTCCTCACAATTCCCTTCTGTTCCATGAGGATGGCAGCAGGTATTATACGGGTTCATTGTTGTCTTGAAGTCTTCACGACGTTTTCAAATACGCTTTATTAGGCTGACGCTTGGGCGGAATCACTTGTTGTTTTGGTTCAGATTTTGAATACTTTTGGGTTTCCACTGAATGTTCCTTAGTTGTTCCCATTAGTTGAGAACGAAGTTTGCAGTACTCGCTTCTACACCCTGGCCAGTGATGTGGTCAGCATTCTGGTCGCTGTGAACAGCTTGCTACGACTACCTGTCTACATGCTCTGCAGCCCCAATCTGAGGTATAATCGTTTGGTTCAGTATACGCGGTATATACTTGGAAATTCCACAACCCCTTAAGAAAATGAATGTTGTCTGAATTTTCGATATGATCAGGACACAACTATTATTTAAAAAGTCAAGAGACTGCGGCCAAGCTAAACCCTTTACTCGACAGTTCCGTTCATCCCAGTTCAGCTTGGAGTCAAAGGAAAAGCAGAACTGCGTTAAAGCTCCGTCACAGTTTTGGCAAACGAAACGCCGGGAGCGCGTGAATGAGGATACCTTCGGGATCTGATGAGCATTTCCCACCCTTACTGTTTCTTCTTTCACTTCTACTAAACTACATCACCTGGAAAGTTCATTTCAGAAGTCGTGTAAAACTTTATAGTAGAGGAATGTGGTTAATGAAAACATTTTAAAGGAATCAATGAATCCTTTTCAGAGAGCAGCTTCTCAAAGAATTCCCTGTGTTCAACTGTTGTCAAGGAGAAAAGAAGAAGTTAGAAATGAACGACGATAGGAGCGCTGCATACCTTCCAGCTCTCTTAGGCCGGCCAGCAATGCTGTGACGAAGTCGGCTAGAGGGTGGTCACTGCACTGCTAAGTTATCAACACAACAGCCTTGATTTGCCGATTACACGCCTTCTCAACTTTAGCATTTCGATCTCTGATATGCCACTACATTGTCAATTCTGCTCGCTGAAGCCCTATGGGAGCTTACAAAAAGGAAATGTATATGAATATTTGCAATTTATTAGTAGTATTTTCGTGGAGAGATCACCTCTCAATCTAGAAGTGCACGAGAAGCATTTTAGTGCAAGAAAATCAACACAGAGTTATAGGACTCCTCTGTCTTACTGTTATAGTTCTTTTAAATCCGAATTACTCGCGCTAGTGTTCATGCCTTCTGCTGCAATCGTACCCGTTCTGAAAATTTGAATGCCTTCGAATGAATTGGAACCGATAACTCCTCATCATCAATCAGTGGGAAAATAAATCACATATTATCTACACTTTACCGTCCTTGGAATGTGCTTCGCATATCGCATCTCCATTCAGAATCGTGGTATTCAATTCGTTCCAGGCCTATACCATGACTCGTCCATGTGCAATCAGGGCTTTTTCTTATCGGACGAATCTACTTCCTACAATAGTCATTGAAAAAATTTCTTCAGATGAATTACATCCTCTTTGTACCACACGTGTCGTTTTGCTGTTCCTAGCCCAAATGTTAAGCTTTCTCTTGCAAAAAACCACTCGTCATTCAGAGAAGGATGCATACTGCCGCCTGTGTTTTTGAATGTTATGTTCAAATCTGTGCTACAAATCTGCGGAACGAATCTGAAAAATGGTTAGAGAAGCACTTTCTGCTTGTTATATGATTAAACAAGTCCTGTGAAACCACTGCTCTACCTTCTCAACACCGAATACCACGACGACTCGACGACCTACCGACCTTCAAGGGACGTATATATTATATAGGGATGAAAGAACTCGCTTATAGACAAGAGCTACTGAGTAACCGATTATCATATTCATTGATGAGATGTTCTCTTTTCAACACAACGATTCGAAAGCATTCTAAATGTTCGGTATTTATCTGAAGGGCAACAGTTTGAACTGAGATATTAAGGGGCGATGCCATCTGTCTGCTCAGAAAAAACAAAAAATTTTGCTGTCCCAATTAAGAGTTTCTCATAACCTCTCGCTAGTCTTTATATTATTTCATATCGCAGTGCAAGGTCAGAAGCAAATCAGCGAATTCTTCTAAACATGGTGGGCACTGTGAGAGCCGACAACTTTGTCAGCATTCCAGTACTCCCACACCCTGTGCCTATGTGACAACAAAATAATGACTTTGATTAGTATCCGGTGAAATCGTCATCTTGAAGTTTGAACCCGACACCCCCTAACTCTATTTGTGACCTAATATGATAGCGATCTCAGCCTCCCTTCACAAAAACTGGTAACCTCAACCGATTTCATTTCACAGGAGTCGCCTCATATTCATCCTAATCACTTTCAACCACTCTCGGAGGAAACATGGACTTAGTAGCAACCTTTCGAAAGTTTTTAGACGACGTTTAAGGAATCTCCTTAGCTAAAAAAACTTCCCTCGAAACCTCGGTTAAGACGCGATACGAAAAATCAGGACAGGCATCGAGCTCCTACAATGACTTTAGCGCGAATGCAGAATGCAACAGATGAAGAACTGGAACGACGGTCATACTCCATTCTACAACGTAATGCTTCCATACACACCTCAACCCCATAGACGATCCAAAGAAAAAGGATTTTAGGCAAATCTCACCGGATTGAGGGCCTTTGAATGTGTAGTCGTGCTGAGACATAACATTCCGGTCAGAACCCACAAACATACACATGTGACAAAAAGTGTGTTCGTCCTGAGACTTGTTTTGCGACGATACCTTGTTGGAAGATAATGCCCGCCCTTTCTCAGCTGCGCTGCTTTATAACCTTAGCATGTATACTTGATTTTCCGTTTTACCCACTTTGTTTCATTTCCAGCTCGCAAAAACACTTGATCTCTCCTCTCTCGCTTATTTTAATCTACCTCTTCTAAAGATTCAAGCTGCACCAAAGCGGTAATTCGACAAGCCTCACACACGTTCTAGGCACTTTCCAACTGTCGCATCCAAAATTTCTGAAGCTCGGTAATGTTTTCGGCCAGAGCTACAGAATGCTCATTTCAACCTCCTCTGGTCTGTGTACCTATCCCTCTCCTACCAAATACCGATTATTCCTCCTCAGGTGGTCTCAGTTCAGTTATTTTGACTACACTCTAGTATGTTTTATTCGTTATTCATTTGTTTCTTCACCATAGTATACATGACAAAAATGCACCATTGAGACGAAAACATATTTAAATGCAAGAATCAGCTATTAATCAACGGCTCATACGGTTTTGGAGGTCTGCATGATGCTACAAGAGATATCAAAACGGGCTTTATCGGTTGATAAAAGGGTTAGAAGTGCTAATAATCGAAACAGTAGATTCAGAAAGTTCGGGGATTCGAAAATGCAACTATCTTCATCAGTGCGAACAGTGTTGTTCTTACAAACGAAGCCCTAGATCCGGTGACTAAAATGTCCTCTTAAAGAAGTCCTTGGATTATACTGCAAACATGTCCCCTTTTCAAAAGAAGCCCCGAATCATATAACTCCAGGTATTCTCATTCTTATGAAAGTCCTAGGATCAACATGATTAATAGATGTCACAGTGATAAAATGTTCAGAATCTGCAATTTCTTGACTTGTCAGCCTGAACATTTGAAAACTGATCATAGAATGACTAGATTTTGGGGCTATCATGCAAGCAAGTAAAGGACAGACGACTGGCATTACTTAGCTGAACGGAAACATAGACGCAGCCTAAATTCTGGGGACTGCTACAAGTTCTTGCTCTCAGTTAATATATTGGTCTGTACTTCCTTGCTAATCTCTATTCACTGTCACTCCAGGGCTTCTTACAAAAATTGCGAATTCTCGTGCTAACAATAAACAATTTCTCGTCCTGTCGTATATGACCCATGATGGTGCAGGGATGGCATTTCTATAAAGAACCCAAGAAAGCATACATCAAGTGTGTCATGAACCTTCGGTTTATGATGTCTTGTTTACTCAGCCTGTGGCGTATAACAGCACAGGAGAGCTTCGGAAGTAGGAGGAACTCGTACATTCGAGTCCGGTCGCGGGATGACGCGGCAGGATCTCGGTCCTGCGACTTTTTGTTTCTCCTTGTGACTTCTGCCGCTTCATGATCGGTTTACGAGCAGCGACGTTTGAGAATCTCGAACACATACAACAAGTACAGACGAGCCTCTTCTCGAAATCACAGAAGGTCTGGTTGCCAGTTTCATCAACAGACGGACCCACAAAGGAAGTAGGTAAGCGAAATGTATATATTATAGATATCAGAAGTCAAGTCAAGTCAATGATCAAGACTCAAATAGTTTCGGTAGCTCTAGTTATGATTTCTGAGTAATTTGATGTGAAGGCGACTTTAGAAATGTTGTAGCTCGCTCAATTTTGAAACTTTGTATCACTGGTAACTGAGAGAATAAAAGAACTGTATAAAACAATGTGCAAGGTTGCTCAGCAAAACCATCAACTATACATTTGGGAGTGATGCCCCACGACATGATGCATCGGCCGGATCTTGTTCGAACATTAAACATTACCTACATCCGATATCGAAACTTCGGTGTATCAATCCAATTCAATAATATTCAGAGTCTCAATCCCTCTGAGCCAAAACGAATCGGAGATATCACAATATCCTCCAGCACGTCAACACAACCAAGCAGCATGTATAAACGCTTCGGCATTCGGAAAAATAATAACTTTCTGAAAACCAGCAAAAATTTGTTTCAAAATGCTACTCCAATAACAAATGTTCACATATGTTTTCGAATCCGAATGAACGAAAAACGAATTCCATTTCTTAATTGACTTTGGCTGACTGTTCCACCACCGAAAAGTTCGTTGAGATTGAGAAATGAAGCCTGCCACCTTAAACCGTTTTCGAAGTAGTAGAGCATAATGTGACGAATATGAATATGACTTCCAGATACGTTTCTGTTGAGGAAACCCAGAGGATCATTTTCATGAAAATCCCGAATCCCATATTCGATCCCAGCTCAACGAATCTGTGATTCGTCTTTATGATTCAGGATCCCTCATCGTCCAAACCTTCTTCGGTCCCTTGACGTCAGGAGCTGTTCGAAATCTCGATCGAAACTTCAGCCTCGGACAATATTCAAACACGTACTGCTGCTTTCTGGGCTCCGAGCTTCTTATCCCTTACCCTCCCGGAACCCCGACCCCCGAGTTTTCCAAATGTAATTAAAGAATCAGTTGTAAACGTAAACATCTGAAAAAACCAAATCTGTAAACTCTCGTGACCAAACCTCTTGTACAGTATATAACTGATTAAACGAGCGCTTTTCCAGAATTGTCGTGATTATGCGAGGGCTCATGCTAGAAAATTGCATCGGCAGTGGAGCCCCATCGTCGCGGCTTTGGATTTCCTGGTGCCCACCGCACTTGAGGGTTGACAGAGTGCGCCTGCGGATGCTCGCCTGGTTTATTACCGCAAGGGTTGTACTGTATATGACGAAAATTTAAAGAGAAGGTGGAGAATATCGCGATGGAGACGAAGAAAGCCTTCATCGCGAAAGAAAGAGTCGGTGTTTCCAAAGCATAAAAGCTTCAAATAAGTCGTCAAAGAAGGGCAGGACGAGAATAAGGAGAGAAATGAAGTAGAAAGGGTATTCGGACAAGTTAACATTGCGTCATTGCGTATGTGTGGGGCCTGGTGCGAATAGCCGACAGTGAGCGAAAATTGCTTTTTTTTTCATTTCATTTTCATGTCGAAACTCATGTCTTCAAAAGTTGGTTAAATCATAAGCGTAAGTTAACAAAAACACAAACACAGCAAACATAAACCACCCTTTTGATCCCTTTAACGTAGGGAACTAGACAAATGACCGCAGCAGCAAGAAACAGAAAATAAGGAATACAAGAAAAAACACCACTCGACGATCATTGCGTGCTGAACGTGTGGGCCTGGTGCGAATATTGTAATCTGTACCGCCTCTACTGTTCTTCTGACATAACATGAGTCGATCATTATCGGCATCCTATCGATCCGGCAATGGGGATCTTATAATGCCTTAGTTCTTGAGATTTTAGACCTCACAGCGTCCGTTCTGTTACCTTTAGGGGCCACTGGATACTGATCAAGGGAAATCTAAGAAACCATTTTTATCTTGAACTGTGCAATCAACCCATTGAGGACTATCACTTTTGACTGGAAAGGCGCCGCGAGAGACCGGCTCGCTTTTTGTTCACTCGCGACTGCAGTCCACATGTGGNCTCGCTTAACCATTTTTTGAATTTCAAATTAGGAATATTCGGTCTTATCAGAATTCACAAATTATGGCCAACTATAATGGTATGCAGAATTCGAATTCTGGTCAGCTACCGATCGATTCTGATGAGGAGCAGGCAAAAAATAAGAATGAGGCAGCTTATGCGCTTCTCTCGATCAGTGTCCATTTTTGATCAAGCGAAATTGAGGAGTACGATAAATTCACTCGTGATGAGGACTACGGCGCATATGATGTCATGAGTTGTAAAGAACTAATTGATAACTTTTATTTATTCTTGGACAACGGGTATGACAATGCAAATGTTGCCGCAGCGGGGCACAGATTTACAGGAATCGACAACCCATAAAATTTATAAGTTTTTTGGAGTGTGCCTTCGAATGGGTCTGGTAAGAATACCCATATTGAAAGAGAATTGGTCGTCAGAACCGGCATCGGTCTGGTGGTCATTCAATCACGAGTTCGATCATTACCAGTAATCGTTTCTTGGAGCTTTTACGAGCTTTACACTTGGTCGATAATAGCGAAGAAACTTATGACTTTTCAGAATCTCATTTTTCAAACTTGTTCAACGAACCAAGAATTCATCAGAGGTAATGTACTCCTTCAAAATACACCTTTAAAACTGCTGAATCATGGGATTTCTTGGGACCATGCTGCATGAAGTTTCAATTTGGCCTAATTTAATGATTCGAAGATCGCTAAAGCGAAAGATCGCTAAAAAGTGGAAATATAAGTGAATAAATCAAAAAATAGAACTCTAGTCCACTTGTGGACCTGCATTGACATCAATGGGTTAGGAGAGTTCCACAGCAATCCTGCCCGATTGCCGTGCAGTGAGCTTGCCCGGTATCAGGAAAATGAGGCCTATTCACATTACAGTATTTAACTTATGGGTACCTACTATTGGTTTGTCAGAGTCCGACGTGAAATCTCGGTGGACTCGAGGTAGCTAGCCAGCCGCACAAAAAAAGACAAGGGGCTCAGATATCGGAAGCTGTCCCCGCAAGCTTTTGGCTGAGCCGATGTGCAAGATGCCAACCGATGCACTCTCCAGACACGTATGCATGGATACATTTGATAAGCGCCCTGGACGAGTAGTCTGCCCGCAACATTTTCTATTATCTGCCATTTCAGATGGCACGTAGTCTCGTCATCAACCGGCTAGAGATCCCTCATTGAGATCGAACTCTTGGCGAAGGAGATTCTTGAAACAAACATTCGTGCGAGCGAAATTTTGTTGATGATGGTTTATTACTAAAGCGATTCAAGGAGCAGTACAGAGAGCTTCATCTTCGCTGCAAACGCAACCGGCGCATTGGCAGTCTTCGTTAGTTGTGCACGGATCTCCTATGTCATAAATCGTGTGAGAGAGCTTGAGTCCTCTGAAATCCAAACTTCTATATCAACTTGTCACGAAAGCGAATTTTATCACAGTGAGCCTATTCTTACCCGGGATTGTATTCGCATGCTACTGCTGTCCACGCATTCCAACAGGATACGACAGCACAGCCAATTTTGTTGCTCGTTTGCCAGGCCAGCTGGAACGATATTAAAAACAACCTAGCATTCATCCGCTAACGTTGCTAAATGTTTTGTTCCCACTTGACTATATTCAGTTGTGCCTCGCGTGAAAAATTCGTTAGTGAAAACGTTGTCCTGAGGAACACCAATTTTATACAGTTCGCTGAACCACGCGTCGACCCGCTGAAATGAGGTTGATCCTGCCCATTTCTAAAGATGCAACAGTGCTCCTTATTCTAACCTCTGCTGCAGCCTTTGTCTTGTTAAGAGTGAATGATAACGCATGCATGTTAGTCCCCCAGCGATTTTTCTGCGCAACAGAGTTGTGTCCAAACATACAACTGCCCGCCCATTCCACCACGTTAGCTTCAACGTCGCAGTCGTAGCTCTACAAAAGTTTCCTTTCGCAGTTATATATGTCCCTACTAGGAATCTGCAGATCATCACATTCATCGTGAGGTATGTTAATACTTTTCGCGACTGCCTGCTTGGTAAGTCAAGGTTTTTATCTTGCGATAAAAAATAGAACTTTCCAACTAAACGCATTTATGCGCTTCTGACGCCGTCATGGGTGACTAGTGCGTTCCTGCCAATGCTTTAACATCTTTTCGATATAGCTAGTGCTTAACTAAATGTACATTCAGCTATATACTGTCCATCTGAGAACGGCATGACAGACGAAATTAGGGCTGTTTTTCTTATGAACACAATCATTACCGGTTGGTATTGCTCATGCAAAGCATCTATGACATCGCGTCAACGGTTCGATGAAAGAAATTCTTCAGATCGCTCGCTGCTAAAGGACAGCCCAAGAATAAACTTGTAGGGGAACGTTCCGAAAGCAGCTCGAATGAAGAAAGTGATAAGGACTGTAGCCCTTTTTCTTTGGAGGAAAGCTCACCTTATGTCTATTCAAATGAGACTTTGAAATAATATAGTGTTATTGAGTCGTTATAGGGCTACGATTGCGAAGTTGAGAAAAATATGATGGAGTATGCAAAGAAGTGCATAGTTAAACACAACCCGGATGCAGGTAGGAACTATTGGGGACAGAACCTTTGGGCGACTGGCGCACGTAATATGAGCAAGACCTATGCTGCAGAATCGGTTAGATTCTTAAGCTCGAGAGTGTGTTCCTCGAAAAAATGTCATCAAATTTTAGGGCGTTGCTGGGTGGTTTAGTGAAGTGTGGAAACATGGGTTCCCAAAAAACAATATTTTCTCCGAAGGGGCATGGAGAATGGCTGGGCACTACTCTGAGGTGGCAATGTAATTGATAGCTGCACAGTGGGCCTATTAATCTTGGAAGTGCGTTCATTGCAGGCGGTTTGGCAGGAGAGTGACAAAATTGGTTGCGCAGTTGTGTGGTGCCCAGGCATGACATGAATCGGTTAGATTCTTAAGCTCGAGAGTGTGTTCCTCGAAAAAATGTCATCAAATTTTAGGGCGTTGCTGGGTGGTTTAGTGAAGTGTGGAAACATGGGTTCCCAAAAAACAATATTTTCTCCGAAGGGGCATGGAAAATGGCTGGGCACTACTCTGAGGTGGCAATGGAATTGATAGCTGCAGAGTGGCCCTATTGATCCTGGAAGTACGTTCATTGCAGGCGGTTTGGCAGGAGAGTGACAAAATTGGTTGCGCAGTTGTGTGGTGCCCAGGCATGACATTTGTGGGATGCGAATACAACCCTGGGTAAGTGAATACTACAACAGTAGCAATTTCTCCCATCATGCAATTCCAAAAAAGTTACAGCGGGAACTGGCCAGGCTACATGCCCTGTGAAATAGGAGATCCGTGTACAACTGATGAAGACTTTCAATGCAAAGGCTGCGTTTGTAGCAGAGATGAGGCCCTCTGCATTTCCTCCAGGATACGTTCCCCTTCATACGGTACCCACTACAACGACCACTACGACAACGACGAAAAAGCCAACTACCACTACAACGACACCAACTACGACTACAACGAAGCCACTGTACGTTGGAGAATCGCCGGATATCAAGTCAAGTTCGTTCACAAAGAGAACTAGTTTTGAGTTTTTAATCAGCAAGAAACCGTATTTTTCAGCTGTGTCGTGCCCAGGACTTAATAATGGCATGACAGATGAGGTTAGGGAGATGTTCCTCAACAGGCACAATAACTATCGGTAAGTTCCACGAGGAGAACAAACTATGAGATTGGAATATAAACAAGAAATTATTAAGATCGCTCATAGCTAGTGGGCGAGCCATGAACAAACTTGGAGGATTCGCTCCGAAAGCCGCTAGAATGATGAAAACGGTACGACTCCATCATGACTTAATTCGATTATTACCACATCGGGTACTTTGACTCTAAAGCTAGATGCTGCTCCAGAAATTTTTCAACTTTTTTTCATAATGAAGAAATGTATTACTATATTATATGTACAGAAGGAAACTTTTGTAGAGCTACGTTTTTCAGCTGCGTCGTGCCCAGTACTTAATAATGGCATGACAGATGAGGTTATGGAGATGTTCCTCAACAGGCACAATAACTATCGGTCAGTTCCACGAGAATAACAAACTATGAGATTGGAATATAAACAAGAAATTATTAAGATCGCTCATAGCTAGTGGGCGAGCCATGAACAAACTTGGAGGATTCGCTCCGAAAGCCGCTAGAATGATGAAAATGGTACGACTCTATTATGACTTCATTCGGTCGATTATTACCACATCGGGTACTTTGACTCCAAGGCTAGATGCTGCTCCAGAAATCTTT